ACAAAACAGAACAGCACAAACACCCAAAACACAAAATAAAAACCCCTTAACTCCCATATCCTGTCCAAACCCAGTAAACTCCCACCATCTCATCATTCCCAGGTGATTATCCTGAAAACTTATATCCTCCTCTCACTTGAAGTTCCACACTTACTGGAAAATTTATGCACAAGTAAACCTTGCTGTGATTTTAGACTCCAGCAGACCTTGACTTGAGTTTCACAGCATTAAATATTGTGTGTGAAAACAACAGTTAACACAACTCAACCAAATAAAATAAACATTAATACTAACTTTTGGCTTTGTTAAACAGCCCTAATAGCTTGAAAATAAAAATCATCAACCCTAACTGTTATGATGAGCTAGTAGCAAACTTACACCTACGAGTCTGGTAGTCAGAGGAAGGTTTTCACAGATTCTATGACCATGACATTCTTCCTCTTCAGCATGACACAAGTCACTGCAAGGAACGACCTCTCCTGTGATCTGATGATTATGGAACAAACTCTCTAGTGCAGCAAAGGAGACTATTGAGATCTTCAGAAAGATTCATGCACAGTTAATGAAAAGACTCCCAGTCCCCACTCCCCACCACACATACACAGACAAACAAGGGACAGCACAAGCACTGTAATCTTTCTTACAGTAAAATCAATTTTGACAATGCTGGAAAAAGTCTGTCTCAAATGGTCTGACTTTTTTAAAACTGGGGACACTAGCAAATTCCCTGAATGCTGCCTAAGCACAGAGTTAATAAAACAGTTTTTCAAGTCAAGTGCATATTTTCACAATACTGTGATAAAACTTGAGACTTCTCACCCCATGCTTTCCCCCCAGACACACCAATATACCCTCAAAAGGCCAAACAATTCTCTATTTATTTCAGCACCTCCAGAAGGCAGTGGCAAAAAAAACAAAAGCTCAGTGGAAAAAACAAGAGGCACTGATTCATATGCAATTAGCTCAGCTAAATTTACTACTGAAGCCATTGCTACTGCAGCTGTCCCGACACCTGCACAGCAGGGACAATGGGACATGACAAGCATCCTCTTACCATCTACTGCAGTTTTCAGGCTGGTACACTAACTTAAAATTGGTGACAGCTACAGTTCTTGAGCTGCTGCATTAACACAATTAGCACAAAAGCAGCTATGCATCTTATTCAGGCATCCACGTCAGAGCCAAAACCAATGGAGACACTCAGTGCTTTTACACACCTCTGCTAAATCCACCACCCAAAAAGCATCAGTGCTCTAAACACGTGTCTTTCCACTCAGAGATTCAGCTGACAGTGACAGACAAGCAAAGCAAAACAAAATTGGTATCTGAAAAGCCAGAAGGATAGAAAGGGAGCAAACTTGTTAATACCCAGTGCAGCACAAGTTCCTGCTGGTTTATCTTCCTTAAATGGGAGTTCGACTGAGAGCAGAACTAAACTTCTGAGGTCAAGTTGCACATTATTTTCTAAGAACTGAGCAGCTCACTCTCTGTTGGCCTGTGTTTCTGCAATCATTTACACAAGTTGTGTGCAGAAACCATTCGTAATGAAATGATTTCGGCTCTGGTGCCTAAGATGTGAGAAAAGCCTACGACAGCGTCTTACAAATGTGAGTGTCCTTTCTGTGCATGGAAAGAGCACTCAGAGCTCCACTGCATCGCTGCTCTGGCACACATCCACCAGCCTTGCCCCAGACAGCAGTACAAACACACAAAAGCTCTTTTATAAGGGTTCAGAGAAAGTGCAAAAGAACAAATTCAGCTTGACATATCTACCTGATTCCAAACCCTCCAAGGAGGGGCTTTAATGCTCCAGACCCTGTGCTATCTTTATAAGGGCACTAATTTGTACAGCACACACGTTTTATCTGCTCTACAATAACAGCACAGATGAACATTAACCAGATTCCTTGTGGTGTCTGCCAGGTGTTTAAATATTTTGCAACTCAAATGCCAAAATACTCTCTGCAGTCCAAATGCTTAAGAGAACATGTGTATATTTCCATCCACTATGTAAAACACATTTTTCCCCCATTTGTTACATTTTAAGCAACAGACTAGAATTACCAACAGACAAACACATACTATAGGTCTACCCTGAAGGTTGATTTCATGAGGAAGATTTAACTCACAAAACCTTTCATTTTGATAATAGAAACACTGAAAAAATATTTACTGTAATATTTACTCCAAATTTAAACCTTTAATCTATATTTATTTCATTCAATCCAAAATACTCCATATTTTAATCCAAAGACTCCTAGGCAGGACCTATACAATTTCCAAAGAAAACAAGCTCTGATATTGTATATTTTGCTAAGTTTAGGTGTACTTTGACATATATTCCACCACCAGAAACCTAACCTGGACAGTTCTACACATGAATATATTATCATGTTAATATATTTACTGCTTTTCTTCCTTCAACCACACTAAACTTCACGTAAAAACTTACACAATATAATTATTAGCAACAAAAATGAAGGGCTCAAAGGTTTCACGACTTGTTTTATAGCATGTCAGTTATATTCCTGAAGAGGAAAGAGAGATCACTCCGGTGAGAAAGGAATTAGAATACTTTTTGTCTTTGTATCACCTGACTACTCTGTGGCTCAAACAAAACAGTCAGCACTGATACTCAGCTTCCTGCATAGGGGCAGGAAGGTCAGGTTATATCATACCTGAGGTCACAAACTATTTCAAACAGGTAACTGGATTAAAATTAAAGCTATATATAACCCCAGAAAGGAAATCCACTGCAGACCCTTATTAAAACAAACTTATCCTACTACCACAGGTTAATGGCAGCAAGATACATCAGCAGCAATAGGTGAGTTGTTCTCCTCCCAGGACCATCAGAAAACCAGTGTTACCCTCACTGTCACACACCTTTGATGCTTGGGGAGTAGAGATGACATGCACAGTGCTTGGCTTAACTCCATTGGCCTTAGGTCGTTTATAAAGAGCAAATCTGCTTTTCCTGCGTCCTCTGTCACCATTGGGGAGGGATCCATTATACCTGGAAATAAACACAAAAGGTTAGCATAAACCACCACAAATTTTCAATACAGTAATTTGGCCACAATATCCTGATGTCATCCAAGGACTGGGCAAAACAAAAGTAGTAACAAGCACGCTAAGTTTTGTCTCCTGAATTATAAGCATTCAAACATTCTTTACATACAAAAGACCAAAACTTTAGTCTCATAGAAGAGGTTAACAACAAATGAAATACTGAGCTGTTCAGTTGCAGAAATATTTCTTCACCTCTAGAATCAAAGGTATTTGAAAGGACAAACCCTAAATCTTCACTGTCATTTCAGAACATGAGATTTAAATGTGTTTTGACCCTACCAGACCCCTCCCCACATCTTATGAAGGAATGGAGAAGACAAGAGAATGAACTGGAGCAATACAGAAAACCAAAGGGATTTAGTGGCAAGTAAAACTAAATGAAAGGGAATTTTACTCACATGGAAAGTTTTTCTAGCTGTTTCTTTTAAACTCTAATCCTAAAGGGCTTCATCTATTATTAAGGCAAGAGGATGCAAGTGTTTTAATTTATGTGATTATCTGAAGCCTCACTAATGACTTCCTCTATCAGGTGTAACACAGTAGCCTTCCACAGTTCTTTCATCTCTCCCTGAGGACAGGGACCCAAAGGATTAATTATTCAGAGAAGTCTTAAGCCTCAGGGGGACATAACTCTTTACCCAGGGAAGAACTGGAGATTTCTTTGCAATGCATAAGCACTGACTTCACCGTCACCTCACCCCGAAGATTTAGGTCAGGTAGAAGCTTCACCCTACAGCACTGTCACCTGTGACATTCCTGCCAACCCTCAGCTGCTCTCAGTAGAGCTCTCTGGGCTTTACTTGACTGCACAAATGCCTCTTCCATTCCTGATCCTAGGAGTTTCAGACTTTTGAGATTTCTTTGCAATGCATAAGCACTGACTTCACCGTCACCTCACCCCGAAGATTTAGGTCAGGTAGAAGCTTCACCCTACAGCACTGTCACCTGTGACATTCCTGCCAACCCTCAGCTGCTCTCAGTAGAGCTCTCTGGGCTTTACTTGACTGCACAAATGCCTCTTCCATTCCTGATCCTAGGAGTTTCAGACTTTTGCCTAAGAAACTACAGATGTTACTCCACTTATAAACCTCTTCTACATTACTGGTGAGGTCTGCTCTATAATGACCACATACATCCTTCTCCTACAGCCTGTATGATTCAGGGCTAACATCACAGTCAGGAAGAGAATATGAAAAGGAGAAGAAAGAAGCAGCAGCACAGTGACCTAGAATTTGTTTCTTATCATTACATCCTGTATGTGCAACTAACTAGTTTGTGTAACAAGAGAATGCACTTGCATTCGTTCCTAATGCTTTCAATCCTTCTGCAAACCAATGGGAAGTGCAGAGCAGATGAAAGCAAGTGGTATCATTGCTGAGGCTCTGAACAAGGCTCACTGTTCACTCTAGGATCACCCGTTGCCACACAGGGCAACAGCTTACAACTTCTCATGTACCATGTCTCAATAGCAGGGATCCAAAATACAGGACTGCTAAATGTTTGTGAGCACAAGCAAGAACAGATTTACTCAGATTTTAATCCTCCAAAACACAAATCCCAGACCTTTTAAAAACATGCATTTAACACATGATGTTAGAGCCACAGAGAAAGTTAAGAGATTTCCAGCTGGGCTAAAATTGAATTTGTTCTCTCACTCCCATTTTCACAGAGAAAACTATTGTATCTTTCTGGAGTATTAAAGGAGATTCCCTAACACAGCAGAAAAACAACAGGAGTAAACCATTATTATTTCATGCCAGGCCTACTTGTACCTTGGAAACTTGTTGTTAACCCTACACTGGAGAAGTGTAGCACAGCAGATCCTCATTATGAGATCAATCCCTAGAAAAATATATCAATAGGATCCACAGGTAGCTTAAATACCAACACTTAAACCAAGAATTATTTGATTCTCCAACCTGATTCTCTCTAGATACATACACGTGCTTTCTTTTAAAGACACTGTATGATCAGGAACATCCTAAGACTTGTCTGAAGACAACATTCTTTCTACAAGGATTTTTATCTGAAAACCTAAGAAAGCAATAATTCCGGCAGAAATAATATGTAACTCCTATATTGTACCATTACTAGCTTTATATTCTGTAATTCTTAATGCTTTTAATACTTCCGTAACTGTTAAGCAATACTGAATTAACGTAGTTCAACTGAAAGTTAAAAGCAGGCAAGTGTGGTTTTATTGTCTGGGGTTTTTTCCTCATGTCCACAAAACAATTTTAACAGGGAAAGGCTATTTGCCTTCATTTCAGGTCTCTGTGGGACTTAATTACCTTCTTAAAAGAGAGAAAGAAAGAAGCTACACAAGGTTAAAAGGTCTTTTGGAAGCTTTAAATAGGAGGGAAATACAAGCAAAGTGAAAGTTTAATTCATTCATCCTGATCAGCACCGACAAGTTTTCATTAAGCTTTTCCTTGTGTCAATTTCTACATTTCCTTTCCATAAAAGGGCAAGAGGAACTGAGTGGTGGTTTTACGATTTGTTATGCTTTAATTATAGACCTGTGAGTTTTATTTCAATCTGACAGTGGTGGAAAGAGCTGGGACAATTACTAGGGATACAGATGTTTTAGAGTGGGGAAAAGGGTGTTAGAGAATTTGCCTTTTTGGTCTCCACAGCAAGTCCTAGGCAAGGACTCTCAACTGGTTCCCCACAAACCAACACTCCCCATGGCACTTGGGCCACATCTTTCCTTCCCCACTACCCAAACAAGCTACACACCAAGTAAACCAGCACTGATGCCATGGGATCTTGCCAGCCCAGGCAGGATCTGCACCCACCCACCCTCTGCCCTGCTCCTGAGGCAGCAGACCCACCTTCATCCATGGCACATCCCTGCCTGTCTAGAAGGAACTGTCCCACTGGACACAATGAGCTTTGGCATTCAAGAGGAGGAATACGAGCATGGAACTGCACAGGAAGAGAAGGGACAAGGACAAAGTGGGAAAGTTGGGGCTGTTCAGCCTGGAGAAGAGAAGGTTGTGTGGGGACCTCAGAGCAACCAGCCAGGAGCTGAAGGGCCTACAAGAAAGCTGGAGATGACTCTTAGTTAGGAACTGCAGTGATAGGACAAGGAGTAACAGGGATAAATTGAAAGAGGGAAACTTAAGATTAGATCTTAGGCAGCAGTTTTCCCCGTGAGGGTGGTGAGACACTGGCACAGGTTGCCCAGGGAGGCTATGGCTGCCCCAGCCCTGGCAGTGTTCAAAGCCAGGTTGGATAAAGCCTTGAGCAACCTGCTCTGGTGGGAGGTGTCCCTGCCCAGTGTCACTGAACACTAGGACACTCCAAGCTTTCCCACAGCCAACAGAAGCTTCATACACAGAAGCATGAGCCCTGCACCCTTTCAACAACTCCAGGAGCAGCTTAGGGACCAGCAAGTAAGCACACCAAGTTAATGCTTCAGAAGATGATCACTGCTACCAAAAGACAACCTGCAGCTGGCACTCTCCTCCACCCCACCAAAAGGTCTGGAACAAATAAAACAACTAGGAAAAATGTCAAATTTCAGAGACTGAACAATCATTTCTGAGACCTCTTGCTCACATGTGTATCTACAGGGCACTTCCAAAGTTCTCCAGGTGTCCATCAGAACAACACATGTGGAAGAAGCAGCCCTACACTTTTTCCAAACACTCCTCAGTGACAGCAATACCAGGACAACCTGCCTTATGAAACCTCCTGGGATAATTATCTCAGCTGATAGCACTATTCCTTGCAAATAAGGGAGTGGTGCTGGCATAGGCTATGGGCACCATAATTACCAAAGCCAGTTTCCTACAGATTTACATCAAACACTTGAGGACTTCGGTATATAATGAACTGCTAACTACAATGAAGCTTTTCCCATGGCTGAGATATGTAATAAAAGCCTCTCCTCCACATGGATTCATGGCTGTCTGGAGAGCAAGACCACACATGCTCTCCCACAGCCCAAGCACTGTGGCAAGTTCCTATTTTCTACGAGTCTTGTACTACTTGTACTACAAGGACTTGAGTACTTCAGAGATCATCAACAAGCTTTGAACCATTTGTCAGTGGCTTGTTACACAAGCTTTGGTGGTTTACATTTATTTTGGGGGTTTCTAAAAAAGAAAACAGGCCTAGACAGTGGCAAATAGTAAAAACAAGACCTCTGCTACTTGGGACAAGAGCTCTAAATCTTGACCTGCACCTTGAAAAGTAAAGACTTAAGCTCAGGGAAGTCATCCTCAAAATTAAGGTGAATATCTACTACCTGACATAGACAGTGCTGCATGTAGCTCTTTGGGTTTTTTTGTATTTTTTACAGTGTTAATTTTATACTTTGCTTTCCTCACCTGCTGCTGACAGATCTACTGCACACCTCAGCATTTCTAGATGCAAACAAACCCAATTCACAGACTTAGATGTGAACAGATGACATGCCACAGTTTGTTGTTACCGCAGCTCTGATGAGTCCAAGAGCACATCTTTGCTGAGCTAAATAATAAAGCTGCAGAAAGCAAGTCAGACTCGAGGCAATTCTTCCTTTTAACTACATTCTGATCCCCATCTTTGATGTAATCCTGCAGTATATACTTCACACATACCAATGCTTACACTGTATTTTTACCACCCCTGAACTAGTGTGGTCCAACGCTTGTGCCAAAAGCAGCAGTGTTATCTTTCATTTGGTAGCTTGTTCCCACCACTTCTCTTCCCAGTTCACAGGAAGGCAAAATAAAACCAGATTCATGCTTTAAATTCAGTTTTAAAACACATCAGTTCCTTGTTCCACAGTTCAGTTAAAAGCCACAGAAGCACTTATATCAGCAACATGGGAAAACAGCACGGAGGGCAGGAGAGATTCCTTTGGAAGTATTGTTGGTCTACAGCTATCAGGACAGCCACAACATTAAAAGGCCAAAGACATATTATTCACCTTTGTAGGACCCAGAGCTATTC